GAGATGGCCCCATATGAGGCCTTATACGGTCGGCGATGTCGTTCTCCGATCGGGCGGTTCGAGCCCGGGGAGGCTAAGTTGTATGGTACGGATCTGGTGAAAGATGCCTTGGAGAAGGTGAAGCTAATTCAGGAAAGACTTCGCACAGCACAGTCCAGACAAAAGAGCTATGCAGATCAGAAGGCACGGGATGTATCATTCATGGTTGGTGAGAAAGTCCTCTTGAAAGTCTCGCCAATGAAAGGTGTCATGAGGTTCGGGAAGAAGGGCAAGCTGAGCCCAAGGTTTATTGGTCCATTTGAGGTGTTGAGGCGAGTTGGGGAGGTTGCTTTACCCCCAGTTTATCGGGAGTTTATCCAGTTTTCCACGTGTCCATGCTCCGGAAGTATCACGCCGACTTGTCCCATGTGTTAGACTTCAGTACTATTCAGTTGGATGAGAGCCTGAGTTACGAGGAGGAGCCAGTTGCCATTATTGATAGACAGGATCGCCAGTTAAGATCCAAGAGAATTTCAGCGATAAAGGTCCAGTGGAGGGGCCAACCAGTCGAGGAGGCGACCTGGGAGTCCGAGGAGGACATGCGGAGCAGATACCCTCATTTATTCAGCACCCCAGGTACTTTTCTATGTTCGTTCGAGGACGAACGTTTGTTTATGAGGTGGAGGATGTAACGACCCGACCGGTCGTTTTGCTTTTTAGAACCCCGTTCCCCCAAATAAAACTTGTCGCGCTTGCTTTATCTAATTTACGACCTACGGGGATGGTTGGTTCGGGATTTGGAAGAATTTGGGTTGATATTTGCTCATTTGATTCCTTAAGATTTTCTTGAAAGGCTAAGTTTGACTTTGGTCAATATTTTTAGCAAACGGGCCCGGATTCGTGTTTTGACGGTCCCGGAGAGTCCGTAGGAAAATATGGGACCTGAGCGTATGCTCGGAATCGAATTTCGAGGTCCCTAGGCCTAGTAATGAATTTTTATTAGAAATTGTTAAACTGAAATTCCAAGAATTTAAAGAAACTAAATAATGATCGATCACGTTGGTAACGGGCTCGTGGATTGGTTTCGGAGCCCATTACAGGTCCAATATAATATTTAAGACCTGCCCGCAAAAGTTGGTGTCAATCCGAGTAGTTTAAGGGCGTTTCGGCTCGTTAGAGGAGAATTAAGAACTTGAAGTTCATAAGTTTGATTCAATTGGTTTTAGGGGGTGATTCTTAGATTTAGCGTTGTTTCGGGCGTTCCGAAGGTTCAAGCAGGTCCGTTTCGTGATTTCGGACTTGTCGGTATGTTCGGATGGGGCCCGGGAGCCCCGAGCGTCAATCAGACGAGGCTCGAGCGAAGTTAGAAAAGTTGAGAAGAGCTGAAGCATCTGCTTCTGTCATAACCGCACCTGCGGTAGGTCGGCCGCAGGCGCGAGACCGCAGAAGCGGTCGTCCTCTCGCAGATGCGGCCAAGGCAGGCCAGGCCCAAAACCGTAGAAGCAGCTCCCAAGCCGCAGAAGCGGCTCCAAGACCGCAGAAGCTGTCCCAGCCCGTTTGGCCAACTTCCGCAGATGCAGTCTCTTCCTTGCAGATGCGGTCCCCTGACCGCAAATGCGGAAATCACTGAAGCAGTGAGCTTCATTTATTACGGGTTCTAAGTTGATTTTTGCCATTTGTCACTCCTCCGTTGGGCGATTTTAGAGCTTTTGAGAGAAGACCTTCACCTAGCATCTTGAGGTAAGTTTATTCTACCTATTTCTAGTTTAATACTTGTGTCTTAGGTAGATTAAACACTAGTATTAAGGTAAAATCATGGGGTTAGAGCAAAACCTAGGGTTTTGACAAAAGTTGTATTTGACCACGCAATTTGTTATTAAATGAATTAAAAATCATATATTATTGATCCTTGGGTTATGAAGAACAACTTTCTTTGAAAAATTTCGGAATCCGGACACGTGGGCCCGGGGTCGAATTTTAGAAAACTTGTGTTTAAGGGTGGGGAATTGCTTAAATAGTTAGAATATGATCTTGTAAGCTTTTATTGACTAGTTCCTACCTCGTTTATCTAGTTTTGGATCATTCGGCTCCAAATTGAGAGTTCGGGCTCGTTCTTGGTATTGGAAGTGCACTTTGGAGCGAGGTGAGTCTCCTATCTAACCTTGTAAGAGGGAATTGTCCCCATAGGTGATGTAATCTAATAACTTGTCGTTAAATGCGGGGGCTACGCACGCACTAGGTGACGAGAGTCCATGCGTAGCTACTATTGTGCTAAGTCCGGGTAGTCTAGGACCCAAAAGCATGCTTTATGTGGTATTCTTGCAACTCTATGTTTAATTTGGATTGGTATTATGATATATGAGACTAGTTAAGAGGAACATGGCCACTCTTGGCCTTTTTAAGGAGAAGTTGATAATTCAATGAGTAATTGCTCTCCAGATATGTGTTCTTGTTTGCCTGTTGCTGTGTTTAATTATATTTGACCGCGTCGCGTGGTTGATTCGCGAGCGGGATAATAGATGCATCTATGGTTCGTGCTGTTCGACCCTCGGCAGTGCACAATTTATTTTATGTTGGATCGGGCCGTACGACCTCGGCACTACTTGCACCTGCTTTACTCAGTATTTTTCTATGATTTGAGTTATTTATTTGTCCTGGAATGGAAGGTGTCAGCTGTGATATTACCTAGGAGAGGACTTGTTATTTCTTGCTATACACTGTTATTTATTTGTTTTATCCACGCACAATATAATTCATATCTCATATTATTTGACCCTAGTAAGTGTCAAGTCGACTTCTCGTCTCTACTTCTTTGAGATTAGACAAGATACTTACTGGGTATATATCATACTACACTTCTGTACTTAATCGTACAGGATCTGAGGCAGGTACATCTGGCTATCAGTCTGGTGCGTATCTTTGAGCATATTTCGAGACCTCCACGGTGAGCTGCTTCCTTCCTGTGTCGTTCAGTAGCGTGATAGAGTCTCTCTTTACCAATTTTTTTATGCTGTCTATTCTGTTTCGGACGGTATGATAGGATTGCTCTTTTGTATATTCTACTAGTTGCCCACAACTTGTGACATCAGGTCTTGGCACACACATTAGTAGACTATTCTTTTGGGATTGTATCACTATTTTTGGTACATTATTGGTTACTACTTGTTTTAACCTTAACCTAAGAAATTCTGAAATTATTCGGTAAAAAAAAAGAAGTAAAGTGAGAACTTATTTATATTTCCGCGTTGCCTTGCCCGGCAATGGTGTTGGGCGCCATCATGACCTATTGTGAAAATGGGTCATGACAAAATTAATATGTGACTTTGATACATCTTGATTAGTTTCTTTTTCTTCTCAATGGTGGTATTAGCACCTTGGTTGTGCTCATTACATTTGGTGAGGGGGGTGGAAGCTANATACTATAGGGGTGGGGGGGGGGAGGGGTGGAAGCTAAGCAAGATTGAGCCATATTTTCTTAATGTTATAATAATAAAAATTATAACACATTCCTTTGAATATCTTTTTACAATATTTTGTGTTTTAAATTTGAATTAAAAAATTTTAAGTCACAATTATATAGTATAATTTACAAGAAAATGCCTTAGATAAAAAATTTAAACAAATAAATAGCCCTATACACACACACACACACACAAACACATTTAAGTAATGTGTGTGTGTATATATATATATATATTACAAGAAATTGCCTTAGATAAACAAATTTTAAAAAAAATAGTCAAGGCCCGTTTATGCGCGTTTGGGCCCGGGCCCGACTCACATAGCCCGTGATCATTACTACACGGTCCCGGTCCCGGTCTGATTACACCCAAAAGCCCATGAACCCCGGATCCGTTTAAGACCGGCTCACGAAGACTGGGTCCGTTTGAGCCCGGCCCGCGAAGCCCATTTGGGACCGGGCCCGGACCGGATGCCAGCCTTATGCTAAACAAGTTAAAATAGCACAGTATAGCCAGTTTTCGGACTGGTCATTAAAAAATAGCCACCGTTTACCAAGTCAATGAAAAATAGCCACTATTTTGCTACAGCAGAGACCGATCCAGCATAATATACTGGAGTTCGGTGCACCTGTGTATGAACTCCAGCATATTATGCTGGACCGATATACTTTGCTGGCTCCAGTATAATATACTGGAGACTGGAGCACCGGTACTCCAAACTCCAGTATATTATGCTAGACCAGTATACTTGCTGGAACTCCAGTATATTATGCTGGAGTTCTAGTGTACTTATGCTGGAACTCCATCACATTATGCTGGAGTTCCAGCATACTTATCTTGGAACTCCAGTATATGCTGGAGTATACTGGAGTTCAAGTATACTTATGCTGGAACTCCAGCATAATATACTGGCGTATTTTCCGGGTTTTGAACAGTGTTTTCGCTCAGATTTTTCTTTACATGAAAGTGGCTAAATTTCGATTACTTTTGAATGGCTATTTTTGAACGACCAGTTGTAAATCTGGCTATTTTTGAATTTCACCCGCTAAACAAATGCCATTGAACGAATGAGGGTTTTGGTAATTAAACACAGTTTGAGTTTATGTTTTCTGTTTTCTGACTTGAAAACTCAAATGTCACGTTATTAAAAAATGACGAATATATTACCTTCTGACCGTAGTAATCTTTGTAAAGTACTAAAAAATAAATTTGTTTATATACAAAAATAAAAATAACTTTATTATCTATTTTTAATACTTTAATTACCGTTTAAGCAATTTATTCGTGGCAAACACAAAGGTTAAGAAAATTCAATTTTGACTTTCAATATCTCAAATACCTTCCTTGGAAGAAAAAACACATGATTACGTACAAAAAAAACAAATCTTCAATCTTGAAGTACGTGCCACAAGGAAATTTAAGCCTATCGTCCACCTCCCCAATTCCCAAATTCCCATGAATTGACAGTTAGTACCGGTCCCACAGCTTCCACGTCATCAGATAACACCGAATTCCATCACCCGCCTAGCTCCCCCTCCTATATATAATGAAATTACACGAATCAAGATCATTGATTCCGACTAATAGACTTGCAAATAAAGGAAAGCGTACTGTAGCAAGCAAAGGTTTCGTACTGCTAAAATGAACATGTCACAACAATCACCGTCACCGTCCGCTGACCGGAGGTTGAGTGTTTTGGCGAGACACCTTGAACCGTCGTCCTCCACCACCGTCGAAACCTCCATCGTCGCTGCTCCTACCTCTGGAAATGCTGGAACCAACTCTGTCTTCTCTCACATCGTTCGCGCTCCCGAAGATCCTATTCTCGGAGTAACTCTCTCTCTCTCTCTCTCTCTCTCTCTCTCTCTCTCTCTCTCTCTCTCTCTCTCTTCATCCACACACACACGCACTCACTCACATAACATATTAAGTATATGCGTGATCAAATGTTCTGTATATACTTATTTGTTCCGTATCAAATGTTCTCTTGTTATAAGCTGAATTTTAGAGGAATAGTAGTGCTATTTGCTATTTGCAAGGGCTTGCATACTCATTCTCTTCGTATTGTATTAAATATTCCTTTTTTTCTTATGGATGATGAATTTAAGCATTTTTGTGAGTCCGATCACTACAAAATTTCGATTTCAAGTTGATAGAAGTGAAAAATGATGGTGTTTACATATCAATTGAGCCAATAAAAAGAGAAATTCGAGTGTTGATATCTTCAAAAATGTAGTTAAATGTAGATATATACTGTGATTTAGTTTCTGTTTAAATCTTTGCCTTTTTTTCTTTTGAAATTTGAATATTGTTTGTTGAAGTCTTCGTGACATATCTTGGTGTTATGTTTTGGTTATTAGGTCACTATTGCATACAATAAAGATAGCAGCCCCATGAAGTTGAATTTGGGAGTTGGTGCATATCGCACAGAGGTGATCATCCTTTTTGGCTTTTGTATTTGCGCTATTATCGTCGATGGAGCACTATTATCAGTAGCTGGATAATCATCCTTTTTGATATTTCCTTGATTGAAATCCAAAAACACAGAAAAAAAGAAATTTACTGACGGATCTGTGTTTTGGTTTCTTCAGATTTACGCATTTCTGTTAATTGAAAAAAGTTATGATTGTTTTGGTGATTGTGGTGTGGTTTTGGCTTCATATAGTTAATCCAACACCGTAGTGTACTAGTGTTTGGCTGATGTGCTGCCAAGAGAAATGTTTAAGATTATGGTCTGCCATAACTGATAAAATTTAATATTAAAAGTACTAGGCTGGATGTTCTGCGTTTGCATAACTTGTAATGCATATAAAAAGTTACCTTTGATTTTCATAATTAGTGAGAAAACTCTAGTAGCTTCCGCATTCCTGTCATTGCACTATCAAACACATTAAACGGTTTCTGATATATATACCTAGTTTGGAACTTCATGATTTCTATTTTTCAGACCTTGTAATAAATGATAATTCTTGGATCTGTGGTGTTTTTGTTCAAAAGATCACAGAGAAGATTGCATTTATGTTTTGTAGTCTAGTTGGCTCAGACTCTGTCAAACACAACTTGTTACATCGCATTTTACCTGTTAGTTAAGAAACTTGGGTCATCAACAAATTTGTATGAGGTGGTTATTTCTTGGGGTTTTGTGAATTGCTCTCTGCAATCTGCTAGCTTTCTTATGTGGACTCAAAACAATGAAGCTCTTCAGTTGATGTGTTGATTTTTTTTGTTTGAAAAAGGTAACAATTATATTCTTCAGCACCCAAAAAAAAACGGGGCTGGTATCTAATATTTACAAGTACAGCCCCTGAAAATCTTACAGAGAATCAAAAAGGTCTAGCAGTGATTCTACATCCCCTATCAACTGTTCTTTACACCAAAAATGAAAAAGAGAAATACAAGAACTCTTGATTTTCTGTGTTGATTTTTCAATCGAGTAAAACAAGTTCTATATTTGGCTGTGAGAGTAAAGTGGGAGCTATTAAAATTCCTAGCTGAATTTATGTTTCTTAATATCTTAAATCTTTAAAGGTAGAGGGAGAGGAAGGAGGTTTATTGATGAAGGACTAGTAGTTGTGTACACTTAGTTCTTTCTCAAATTTCATAAGAATCTCTTGAGGGTTTTTCTGGCCGACTGTTGAATATGGGGCTCCACAGTTTGTGTTGCTATATTGAAATGTTTCAGCTAATAATACTAACGTGTTTCTTTTTCTTTCTCCCTTTTTGCGGGGTTATCAGGAAGGAAAACCTCTTGTTTTGAATGTTGTAAGACAAGCAGAGCAGCTACTAGTAAATGACAGGTACTTGCGTTGCCATTTCGTGGAGTATGAATAAAATGTTTCCTTAATTCTATCTGATTAAACTTCAAGATTTCTGCAGGTCTCGCGTTAAAGAGTACCTATCTATTACTGGACTGGCAGACTTCAATAAATTGAGTGCTAAGCTGATACTTGGTGCCGACAGGTATACAAGTTCCTGTTCTCTGTATAGTGTTGCTGATAAGATATGCAGGGAGATAAAGACATGTATTTTCCTGTTGCATAGGATGATATCTTCCGATAATAAGGCTCCGTTCCATGTGTTTGATAGCTTGGTAGATCTTTGTGAAGCATCTATTAACATTTGCTCACGTTTTTTTTTAAAACCAACTTCCCATCCCATCCATGCCATTCCACGTGTCAGTTATTCATGAAAATGCTGTTCACTTGCATACATGTTACTGCCGTAGTGTTGGTTTCTCTCAACTCTACTCATAATTTCTGTGTGGTCGCATTCTGGTGATCTGATTTATCTGATAATATCTGTACATGTTTTGAAATTTGGGTAGTGTCTCTTTGATTAGCGTGTAAAGCAGGCAACTCTTGATGCATGTGGTGAAGTGTATGATTGCTGTCTAGAGCTGTCAGATGTTAAATTTATCTTATGCGTTTCCAAGATCTTCTAGATGTTCTATGTAATCTTTTTAGGCCAGCTTAAACTTTGACTTGCTTCATATACATTTATGTTAAAGGAGAGTTGTTAATATTCTTCAATTTTCACATTTTTAATTCCTCTTTTTACCTGTGGTCCTTACGAGCTCTTACTTTCTTTGCTTGGTACAGCCCTGCTATTCAAGAGAACAGAGTAACAACTGTGCAGTGCTTGTCTGGCACAGGCTCATTGAGGGTTGGAGCTGATTTTTTGGCTCGACATTATCATCAAGTAAACTGCTACGTCTTCTTAACCAACCTTTCACTTTCCTTCGTTTTCTTAGCCTTCGTGGGTAAACAATCTTCAAAGTTGAATTGACCTTGATGTAACCATTCCTGCAGCGCACTATTTATATTCCCCAACCAACATGGGGAAACCACCCAAAAATTTTCACTTTAGCTGGGTTATCAGTAAAGAGTTACCGCTACTATGATCCAGCAACTCGTGGACTCAATTTTCAAGGTATGAAATACTTCCCTACAATATAATGATGTAACAGGATATTGTCCCATTAGATATCTATGGCTATGCTGTTTACTATTACTCTCTTCGAGGATGATGGATGTTCTTTTAGTCTTATTCTGGTATTTGATTAGAAATTATCACAAGTCTGAATCAAGTTGTGGATGGATGGTTTCACTTATTTGATTGCATTGTAATCCAGCAAACTTCTAAAGCCGTCATCATCTATGCTTTTTCTTTATACCTTTTTTCTGCGAGGAAATAAGAGAAGAGAGATGGAGATATAACTTGATAATAATGGAATGCAACAAACGCCTAATTTAACATATTAGGGACCAACTAAGGTCAGCATTTGACATTAGCTCTTAACATTTTACTTTTTAACACCTTATCAAAAAAGAAGGAAAAAGATTGACATTCTAATGTCGCACGGAACCAAAGGTAGGAATAGCTGATAACATAGAAAAGTAACGAAACAAGTCCTGGAATCTTGTCAAAAAAGTTTCAGTTGCCGAAATTTTCTTGGAAAAAGTTACTGTAACCGCAATGGTCGGAAGAATAGGAGGAAGAAATTCAATAATGCGGGTCAAATAGAGGAGGTGCCACTAAAAGGCCATTGGAGAGGGGCTGCGAAACACCATCTGAAAGAGGCACAGTGGTACCAGAAGGATTATCGAATGCTGATGCATAGAAACGAGTCAGAGATTGAAACAGTCACTGGAAAGAAGGCTTGATGTTGTGACAGCAGTCAGTCAGAATAAAGAGAAGTGGTGCCATCAGAATGGTCACTGGAAAGGCTAGAATTGTAGGACTATCATAAGAAAGTGAATTGTGTCTGGGAGACTCTTTGAAAGACAAAATATATTTAGGTCTCCACAAGATCATAGATGCTCTAATGCTATGTGAGAAACTAAGTGAGTGGACGAAAAGAAATGGATTACTTGATAATTACTTGATAAAATACAATCCATACGTTTAATTCCGAATGACTAACTTTAATTTTAACACAACTTTTACATCTAAAAGTATGACACATGACATTCTAACCTTTCCTGCTTGTGTTCACAACTTTGCATGTCGCCGACTTGTTTACAAGAACTTTATTTTTCGTACATGACAGGTTTGTTGGAAGACCTTGGATCTGCTCCATCGGGAGCGATAGTGCTACTTCATGCTTGTGCCCATAACCCCACTGGTGTTGATCCAACCATTGATCAGTGGGAGCAAATTAGGAGATTGATGAGATCAAGAGGATTGTTGCCCTTCTTTGATAGTGCATATCAGGTAAGAAATCATCAACAGATGTGCAAGGCACTTTGGCTGTTGGAGTTGTTGCTGTATGAGCATTTAAAAGTGAGGCGGTTTATTCAGTATATGTCAATTAACCTTGATATTCAAACTTTGATATTCTAGGGCTTTGCCAGTGGAAGCCTAGATACAGATGCACAGTCTGTTCGCATGTTTGTGGCAGATGGAGGTGAAGTACTTGTTGCTCAAAGTTATGCAAAGAATATGGGGCTTTATGGTGAACGTGTCGGAGCTCTAAGCATTGTACGTCTTAAGGACAAAGGACAACTGTGCCTTGTTTCTGAAAATTTATATCTCCAGTTGTTCAGTTGGTGCATTACCTTTATTTTTCTCAGATTGATTCTCATGATGCATAAACTGTCTTACTGTTTTCATAGTGGCCTTCTTTTGTGATGTTAAAATTTGGTAGTTATGAACTGTTAAAGCTTATATAGCTTACTTCCAAATATATAGCTGTGAGCCTTGGACATCACATATAAATTATTTTATATCACGGGTTCGAGCTGTAGAAACAGCCTCTTGCAGAAATGTAGGGTAAGGTTGCGTACAATACACCCTTGTAGTCTGGCCCTTCCCCGGCCCCCTGCATATAGCGGGAGCTTAGCGCACCGGGTTACCCTTTTTTTCATTCTGAGGCGTAAAAAGTTTTTAATTTCTCAAGAATGAATAAAGAGCCTGTTATAACAGGCACTTTGCATGTCATATGGTGTTGTTTGTCACACAGTGATGCATATAGTGTAGTTTATCACACAAATGAAAAAAAATGAAGGATATAGTTCTGAACCCTCCGTTAAACTCTGCTGATAGTTATAATTCTTCTAATTTTCTCAAATCTGTAGGTCTGCAGGAATGCTGATGTGGCGAGCAGAGTTGAGAGCCAGCTGAAGTTGGTGATTAGGCCAATGTATTCCAATCCGCCCATCCATGGAGCGTCAATAGTTGCCACAATCCTTAAAGACAGGTAATATATCAACCATCAGGAAATTGCTTCTTGGGACCCCAAAAAAGCCATTTCCTTTCTTTCTATATGATAGAATCCAGTGTATGTTCAAAAATTATGTTTAGTCATTGTTCTGCAAAATAAGTCACTAAATTTCTGCAGAAACATGTACCATGAATGGACCCTTGAGCTGAAAGCAATGGCTGATAGAATCATCAGAATGCGTCAGCAATTATTTGATGCTTTACGTGCTAGAGGTAAATTTGCTGCATCATTTTCACGTATGCGTGCTCTTATTACATGTTTCTTGCTGCATCGACTTTGGATATTTTTCTCATTTTTGATAATTTCGGTTCAAGTGTCATTATAAATGCTACATGTTCGTGGCGTATACTTCTACCTATAAAATATGCTGCAACTTGTTCCAGCTCATTTGTCTAGATAATTGAACAAAAGGACCAATCTTCACCAGCTAACTCTCCTGAATGAAAGCTTAACGAAGGAAAGAGATTAAGCAAACAAAACATGGAATTCGACAAATTCAAACATTTCTCCAAATCTTAATACATCTCGATCCTCCTTAGTGCTTTCATCAACTTCTTAGGTACTTCACCTCTGAACTTTGGCTCTGACTGGATTCTCTACCTTTGGAAAACCATCCCCAAAGATGTCCCTTCCATGATCCTTTTGGGGACATGAACTCTTGGATCAGGCAAGAGATTATCCCCCAAAAAAGAAAAATTGTTGGATCAGATTTTTTCCTGATAGGTTGCATTCTTTCAGCATTCCCCTTAAAGTTTGTGATTTGGACGTTGTCCTCATTGTGTTAAAAAAAATGTCATTGGAAACTTCCATTTTGGCACATCAGGTGTTAGAATCATCATGTTTTCATAAATTGGCAATAGACAAAGTCTCATGTCGTCAACTCCTTTCTTCAGTGTCAGGCATTCTTTAATCAATGCAAGTGTCGAGCATTGCATGAATAGGATACCTATTTCTATTTACATGAATTGATGGGCAAGTCGGGCATTTTTTAGTCGACTTAAAGGTCAAGCATTGCATGAAGAAGATATCTATTTCTATTGACTTCAATTGATTGGCAGGTACACCTGGTGACTGGAGTCACATTATCAAGCAGATTGGAATGTTTACTTTCACGGGACTTAACTCGGAGCAAGTTGCCTTCATGACCAAAGAGTACCACATCTACATGACATCAGATGGGTAATATGTTATTTCTTAGCACAAAGTTCTGTATATGTCATATCAGACTACCATGTTTCCTCCACATCTGATATGTGATTTTATTACCTCGTAAGGATTTCTACCCTCGGGTGGTAAAACAGAAAGAGGGAAGGGAGTTAAAATCTTATCAGCCGTCAGTTAGTTCTTTTCTTGTACTCCCTCCGTTTCATATTAAATGAGCTACTTTCCTTTTTAGTCTATTCCAAAACAAATGACACATTTTTAAATTTGGAAATAATTCAACTTTAAACTCTTCATTTTACCATTTTTCCCCTTAATGAGAAGCTTTTATATCCACACAAATGGCTTGGCCCCACAAATCTTTTACCCCTTAAGCTTTTAAGACCACAACTTTCAAAAGTCTTCTTCTTTTTTTGTTGAACTCCGTGGTGAGTCAAACGACCTCAAATAATATGAAACGTAGGGAGTAGTATTCTTGCTACCTTAGCTTTGATGTACACTAAGAGAAATGTGGCTGTATGAATGAACATTTCTAGAGCATGGTTCTTTCTATGTTTGTATTTAATTGTGGCAACTTCAATTAAGCTTGGGATATTAGATAATCCAAAGCCTTTGACATACATCACATATTTCATTTTGCAGACGCATCAGTATGGCAGGTCTGAGCTCCAGGACAGTTCCACATCTAGCAGATGCCATACATGCTGCTGTTGCTCGGGCTCGTTGAGTTTGTTACTGCCTACTACTGTTTCCTTCCGGTTCTTCTGAGTTGTTCGCTTCTATCATTCTGGTTGACCGAGTATCTTCTGTTGTTCAAGTAAATTCGATTGCAATTCCCTCTCTTTGAGGGTATATGGTGGTTCAAGAGTAATAAGTGGTTTCCTCCTAAGTTGGAGTTTGAGATAAACCTATATTTGTAATAACTAGAATAAACAGTTTTTGTTTAATGTAGCAATCCTCTTTAATAATCTCTTCAGTCTTAGCTGCTAAATAGTGCTATAAGCGTACGTACAATTGTTACTACCAATTTCTCTCGTTTTAATGAAGTTAAAACACATTTAACTATCAGCTTATCTTAGTTAAGCTTATCTCCCAGAATTGACACATTGTTGAATAGTCTCCATTAGTTGAAACATGGGTCCATCGGGGAACTTCATTCGCCTTGTTCTCTGTTTAGGTCCATTATTCCTGTTCTGTTTGTTCCTAAGGTATAAACCAAGGCAATTACGTATAGCTGCCATTAATGGATAAAATTATTCTTAAGGCAATGTGCTTAGCCCAAGAGTCCGGAACCAAAATGTGGTTCTTTTGGACTCAAACTACGTAAATAGGTGTAAAAAAAAAAAGTTACCAAAGTATATATAACACCAGAAAACCTGGCGCTATACATTAACGATAACTGCACCGTTAATGTATAGTGCCAGATTTTCTGGCGTTATATAAAAAAAATCTGACACACCTGATATAGTGCCATAAAAAGTAGCGTTATACCCTTTAAGGAGTGAGGAGTTACAGTGAATGATAGTGGGGGTAAGGAGTTACTGCAACATCCATAGACTCTTCTTTTTTAACATAATTTTGAGTAAGTAAAGTCAAGGATGAACAATTATCTCAAGGATGTACAATTATTAAAGTAAATAATAATTTTAAAAAGGCGAAATACATAAATGGCCCCTCCAAGTTGTCCACAACGGTCATTTGAACACCACAACCGAAGCCATTTCCAGCTACACTTTCTTTATTCACAAAAGAAGATCAACTAAACACCCGGCCATGTCAACCCCCATTAATACACTCTCTCGGATGCGAGTTTCCTACCAAAAAATAGGTTTTTTCTTTTTTTTTTTTCCTAAAATAATGCGGACCCACCTAATTTCACACCTTCTCCTCCAATTCTCTTCTCCACCATTCACACCCTACTCCACCCTAAATTGCCTCTACCTCCATTACCAAATATATGATTTCACCAATTCAACAAAAAAAATTGTACGAAACTCGTTCTTCTGTTTCACCTTCTCCACTAGACTATCTAAATAATTGCCATTGTGCCTCTTTAATCTGAACAAAAAGCTAGAGATTTTGAGTATGTTTTGGTCATTTGATGGAAGTGTATGGTCACGTATTCTGATTTTATGCATTTTATTTGGATGCAAACCAGAATTCTGTAACGAGAAACACCCATCTAAAGCAAACCAAAAATTCAAAAAATTCACAACTACACCCTATCCAAAAAGTATCAATAGCAGCGTTTGATTGATACCCATGTTGAATTGATGACTCAAACATGTTCTCCTTGTCAAGGCAAAGAGATCGGTATCGAGTTTGCTCCATTTGGACTACTGGAACTCCACTTCCGTTCAATTCTGTATCACAGGCGATTTGCAGGTCATCGGAGAAGACAATTCCCACGGTGGAATTGTTTGAAATTTGGTGGGGAGGTGGAATTTGGTGGAATTGTCTGAAATTGTGTCACCAGCGATTCGCAGACCATTTGATGGAGAATAATCCCCACGGTTTGGAATTTTATTTTTTGACCCAAAAATGGAAGCAACAAGTCTCTGTTCCTTCAGATTTTGTCCATTTTTTTCCTTCTTCAACAACCGATTCTTCTTCACTATTTATATATCCCGAAAATTTTGATAAATAGGTCATTCGAATTTACACGAACTTTTTTTAATATAGAAGATGAGTTTGAAGGGGATTGGTCGGAAGGGGACATCGGAAGATGAAGTTGGAGGGGGGGGGGGGACGCTGGAGAAGGGTTTTTTCATTTTAAATTTATTTTATTTTTTTTGGTTAATTTATGTTAAGTTTTAATTACAAATTACACGTGTCGTTCGTTGATTGGCTCATTTGGCAATTGTAACTCACGCATCTGGTATGCTGTACCGGAGTGTCTATTTGATTTACTTAACAGACACTTGAAGTGTCTACTTGATAAATAGGTCTGTAGAGGTGTTCAAATGACCGTTGTGGACAACTTGGAGGGGCCATTTATGCGCCTTTTAAAAAAAGGATGAACAATTATCTCCTTTTCTTTTACGTCTATGACAATGTAGATAAAGATAAATTCATGAAAAAAGTACCTAAAGTAAAGTAATCTATTAAATAGTTATTGTGGGTTTCATTCACGACCAGACCCCACATTTTCTCTGCAGTAATGAGACAAAATTTCGTCAGTTCAACTCCACGGATCGAACTTTAAACTTTTGAGAATTAGAATAGAGTAAATACTTAACTAGCGTTTGGCTATAGATTTTCAAATTTATTTAAAAAAATTTAATTTGGGGAAGTTTGATTTGAAGATAAAATGTGCTTGAACATCAGTTTTCAAAACATATTTCACTTTTTTTTTTTGAAAAAACATGAAACATGACTTATACTCACAAGTACTAAAAACTATCACAAATACCCAACGGTACCATCATTAATAACATTCATTATCATTATTACAAATCATAGTCCTAAACATAAATAAATTTAGTACAAAATTATCATTTTTATAATAAACTACTTAAGACACTATCAGATGACCGAGAAGACGAAACAACATTATTACAAAATAATAAATGGTAATACAAAAGTTTGGGGTAATTTTTAAAAACTGTAACGGTAATATTTTAGACCAAAACCAGTTCTTGAGCTGTTTTGGGGATTTGGGTTTTGGGTTTTGAAAATTTGACAAATATGGATAAAATCTATGACTTAACATGTATACCAAAAAAAACTCTAAATATATTTTGACAAAATATATGGTCAAACGGGTCCTTAGCATTTGTAACTGAAGGTCAAAAACTTTATCTTCAAGTGACTTTTGTTGGGAATGCAAGAGGGTAAAAACAGTAACAAAAATGAAATGAAATGGATGTTGAGTTAGTAACTATAGTAAAAGGTCCCCTACCTGGTACTTCCGTGCATGTCTGCCACGTGACTTTACTTACTCAAAATTATGTTAAAAAAGAAGAGTCTATGGATGTTGCAGTAACTCCTTACCCCCACTATCATTCACTGTAACTCCTCACTCCTTAAAGGGTATAGCGCCACTTTTTATGGCGCTATATCAGTGTCAGATTTTTTTTATATAACGCCAGAAAATCTGGCGCTATACATTAACGGTGCAGTTACCGTTATTGTATAGCGCCAGGTTTTTTGGCGTTATATATACTTTAGTAACCTTTTTTTTTACACCTATTTACGTAGTTTGAGTTCAAAAGAATCACATTTTGGTTCCGGACTCCTTAGCCCAAGCTTTTCTTTTCGCCTAATAAAAAGTTGATTCGATAGAAAAGTACCTCTTTTCGCTTCCGCTTGTCTTCTCTTTCTTCACCTCCATCGAAAGAAGTAGACTTTGAGTCACTCACTCTTTTGAATAGCTTTCTGGAACAATCATATGAAAACGATTGGACATATTGAAATTGGAAGTTTCATAGGACTGATGAGTTGGTTAATACTCCCCCCGTTGACTTTACATATCCACTATATTAAAAATACATTTTCACTTTTATTAGTCCATTTTAGCAAATCAAGAGTTGTTTTACCTTAACTACTTATTTCTCAAGTCTTGCTTGCTGAAGGATTAGTGAACTTGCTACGAGCATTGAAAGTATTTGGGTCTCATTCTTGCTGAGGCCATCTGGGCTATCAAAGTAAACTACGCGAAAATTTATAAATGGCCAGTTTTACGTCTGGTCAATCAAATTTAGCCACATAATCAAAGGTCAACTATGTTTAGCCGCTAAGTTAGAACGCTAACAATTTATTGACTAAAATAACCCTACTCTTGTGAGCACGTGATTTTTGCCCTAAGTGAATTGTCCCCAAAATTCAAACAAGATGATTTCTTTATTATTTTACAATTTTTGTGAATTTTTGTGTTATTTTCTGATAATTGTTGCATTTTATTTGTGCATTTTTATGAAAAAAATAAAAAATACGCTTGACATTTGTTTTTAGGTTTTAGTTTCATATTCTAGGATTAAATAGTAGTTCAGTTGTTTTTAAAACGAAATATAAGAAAAATCACAGGAATAGTCCATTCTTTGCATTTTAATTGTGAATTTGTCATGATTTTACTTTTAAATAGGATTTAATCAATTTTGTAGGAATTAATTAGCTTAATTAGGTTTCATTTTAATTTTTGCATTTTAATAAAATCAGAAAAAAAAACATAAATATAAAATGAAATAAAAAGAAAGAAAAACAAAGGGAACAAGTAAAGAAGAAATTTGGGCCATGTTTGAAAGCAAAAATACCAGTCCAGGACGGTCGCCCCAAGCCCAAAACCATAACCCTCACCCGGCCTGCCCCCACATAATCCAAACGACGTCATTTGGTCGTTTTAATCTGGACCGTCGAGGTTGATTGGATCAATGGTGGGGAACTGGGGTAAACATAATATAAAATGGTCGGAACACCCCCCACCCCCGTTTCATCGTCTCAAACACACCCTATCCACAGACCCTATAACACCACTGCACGCCGCCGCCGGAAATCGCCCACGGCGGCGGCAGTTGTCCAAATCCTCCCAAATTCACACCATCCCCTCTCCTCGTTCCCCTCTTTCCGAATCCACCCCCATTTATCCCAAATCCTAACCAAATGCCCCAAATATACCAAACCCTAGCGCCGCCACCGCCGTGCACGGCGGCGACACCCTTCCAAATGGCCCCAAATTTACACCCCTAACTCCCCTCGTCCCCTTCTTTCCAAATACGCACTCACTTTCCCTCGAATCAATCCCCACCCCTTCGAATCTTAACTTGAAGTTTTCCGGCAAAACCCTAGTTCTTCCAAACTCCATCAAATCAATGCCACAGGGCCTCCTCTTTCTCCTCATGAAGAATCCACTGTCAAAAACGCTCCAATTTCATCGGAATCGTCCGAACCTTAAATCTGAATATGACTGGTGAGTCTTCTTAATTGTTTCACTTCATATCGGGTTCAAACCAGTTGCATCCAATCTTTTTTTTCTGTCTCATCTAATCTATTTCTCTTGATTCTATGTTGCCTTCATGTTCATTAAGTTGTGATTGATTGTTATTTGCCTGTTTTAGGTGTTTAATTGT